GGAGGTGTCAGAAGGTGCAGAGAGCTTGTCTGTGGCCTGCCCTCCATGCTGTAGTCAAAGGTGGGCCTGTGGCAGGCAAGGATGTCAGGAAGCCCCCACTCCACGGAGGTGTCAGAAGGTGCAGAGAGCTTGTCTGTGGCCTGCCCTCCATGCTGTAGTCAAAGGCGGGCCTGTGGCAGGCAAGGATGTCAGGAAGCCCCCACTCCGGGAGTCCTCAAGCCCCTCAGATGGCAACTTGAAGCAATGTTTTGAGGAGAGGTGGGGGAAGATGATGACAGTTTAGAACTTTCCTCTCAAAGGTGGCCAAGTTGGAGTTTGCTGGGAGACAGGAGGAATGGCAGCAAACTCCAGAGCCAGCAGGCCCTGGAGAGGTGAGGAGAGAAAGGGAGAGACGCCAAGAGGGGAGGAAAACGAAAGGCAGCATCGGGGAGAGAGAACCAGAGCAGAGCGGGGAGCAGAGGAAAGAGCCCGATCCACAGCAGGGACAGCAGGATGGGCCGCGCAGGCAGACGTGATGGCGGGAGAGCTGGGAGGGTGGGGGACAGACTGAAACGGGGAGACAGACCAGACCCAGAGCCAAGGAGCAGACAGAGGGAGATCGGTGAGGAGGGAAGGCAGAGCAGGAGGGACCAGACAAAACCCCCAAAGGGGGAGGGAGGAGGCCACCCTGCAGACCCCCAGCCCAGCCTGGGCCCTATTCGCTGCCACCCCAGAGCCCCGCAGCAAATGGAGCAAGAATCTGGCCTCCGGGGCCCGAAGCCAGTCAGGAACCCCAGCTTGCTCGCCTGCTGGATGTGAACGAGCTGCAAGAAAAGCCAGGCAGGGCCTAGGGCTGGGCCAGGCCCAGGACAGAGGGTCCCTCTCTGGCCCTCAGGAGGGGCCTGGGATATTCTATCTGTCCCCCTCCTCCCATCTCCTGCCTGTGCCAGCACAGGCCTACACAGGAGTGTTGGCTTCTCCCCACTGATGGGTGAGAAACTGAGGCCCCAAGAGGGGAGGAAGGAAGTCTCTGAAATGCCAGGAATAGGGCAGGGATGAGCATGTGCGTCCTGTGCCTCCTGTCCAGGGCCGTCCTGCAGAGGATGCTACCAGCCCCCCCGGCCAGCCTTCTGTCAAGCTGCAGTCCTGGCGGTCGGGGTGAACTGCCAGGGGTCAGCCTGGAATGCATCTGCTGAGAGCAGGAGGCCTGCCGGGGTGGGGATGAGGGAGCTGCATGCACCTACATGCACCTAAGTGCCTGTAAGTCCGGGACGGAGCGGACTTGCAGCAGGTGACAGTGTGTGGCCAGTGGGTCCTACCTGCTCAGAGAGTCCAGGGGGTCAGAAGTAATCAGTGCCTTATTAACCACCCGAAAGAAGGAGCCAGCCCCACTGGTCCACCTCCCGGAACCTCCTTCACATCCTTTACCCCAGGCAGCCCCGAGTAAAGGAAGGTCCATCTCCCACGCCCTAGGAGGCTCCCTCCTGCCCCTGGCCCTTGGCCCCACATCCTGGTGGCAACACTGGCTCACATGAGGAGTTCTCTGGTCAGTTCCGAGGGTATCCAGCCAGAGCTCCCTCTGCAGGGCTGGGATTTCCTCACACCGAGGTTTCCCCTACAGACCAGGCTCCCGAGGGTAGAGCTGTGGTGGCCCTCCAGCCGGGGTCTTCTGGAACAGCACCATTTCCCTTCAGGCCACAGGCTCCTGGGGTGTCTCCCTCACACCATGTCCACTGAGGGGCATACGCATAGTCCTCCTCCCCACTTGGTGTCCTGATGGGACCCTCCTGTCCCTGCCCTCCTCCACTGGGTGCAGGGCTGAGTTTTGACACTGGTGGGTACTGGACCCAGCTAAGAGGACTAAAGGGAGATGGCAGGGGGAGAGCAGTCACACGGCCTCAAGGGGCTCTGGACTCAGGCTGGCATGGCGCTGAGCTGGCTGAACCTGCACATGTCCCAGGTGGCTGTGACAGTGTCTGTGGGCTGGTCAGGATCTGTGCAACTGAGGGTACATGATGTGCTACTGTGCATGTGGTGAGAGTCTCCTGGGATTACTAATTTATCCACAAACATTTGCTGAGCATGTATCATGTGCCCAACTTTGTTGCGGGTGTAGAGAGACAGCTACGAGCTAGACAGACCAGCTCTTGTCTTCATGCAGCTTCCATCCCTGCACGTGGGCCCACAGGCTCTGCTGGGACACGGTGGCTGACAACTACACAGTGGCTGACTGTGGGGGTGGGTGTGAGTGTGCACTTGGCAGAGGCCCACCTTGCTCTGGAGCAGGGCAGGAGGTGAGGACCCAGGGCTAATGGGTTAGGCAGCACGTTTGCTCAAGCAAATTGAGTACTCAATGATATCAGGGTCCTAAGGGTGACATCCCGCCACCCACTGTATTTCAGGCCACACCCCCTTGTCAGCATGACCTCTGCCTTAATGCCACCACTATAGCTCCATTCCTTTGAACAAAGGCCTTGCCATCACCAGGAGGCACCATCAGAATGCAGGCAGAATGCCAATGCAGACCTCATGGCCATGACCTGACCACTTGGGTGGGAAAGGGAGAAGGTCTGCCATTGGAGCCCCAGGCCCACGAAGGCTCCAAACCCCTCCACCTCTTTCTCCTGGGTCTGCCACAAATCCAGACCAACCAGAGAAGGAAGGAAGGAAGGGAGCAGCGTCAGACTAAGGTGTCTTCTCACAAGCTCCACCTCTTTCTCCTGGGTCTGCCACAAATCCAGACCAACCAGAGAAGGAAGGAAGGAAGGAAGGAAGGAAGGGAGCAGCATCAGACTAAGGTGTCTTCTCACAAGGCCAGGAGGCTCAGACTGTAAGTGATTGCCAAGGAAAGGCAGAGCTGGGATAAGAACTCAGGACCACCTAATCCCAGAGCCCAAGTCCAGTTCTCTGCCCACCTGTCAGGAAGGCCCGATGCACTTGCTTACCGATCGAAACTCCAGCTCTGTGGGCCCAGGAACAAGTAACAGGGGCTGGGGGCTGCAGGTCCCAGGAGGTGCCAGGATGGTGGGGGTGGGAGTGAGGGGACAGCCTCCAACTTCCCTGCATAATTGGGGTGGGGGTGGGAGGTGGGTGCAAAAGAAGCACTGGGTGAAAAGAGGGCACAAAGAGAAGCTGGGAGAGCAGCCAGTGTCCCCCCTGCAGTGCCAGCCAGTCCTCGGAGCTTGGCCTCTGAGGCAGAGCCCTTCTCCTTCCCAGCTCTTCCTCCAGTGTGTCCTGACTTGGCAGGCACTGTCCCTTCCCCCTCTGCCGTCTCTGGTCCCTCCCATGGACCGTGGCATGGGCCCAGCCTGCCGAGTCCACAGGCCTGAGCCAGGCTAAATAAGGGGGCTGCCCCAGCTCCTGAGCCCTAGGCGGGGCTCGAGGCCACTCAGGCCTGGGCACTGTCTGGCCCTGCTGGCCGCTATGGTCTCGGCAAATGCATTTCCAGATGTGCCTCATTCCTGACGTGCCCAGCAAGACCCATGTTCCAGTCAGAGCTGGCCATTCCCAGGATGGCCTGCATCCCAGCACCACAGAGATCAAGTGGGAGAACCTCAGGCTTTGTCCAGCGGTGGGTGGACAGAGCCTCGATCGCTGGCTAAGGGTGTGGACCTTGGGCTGTGTGGAAAGAAGACACCCACAGGTGTGGCTGACACTGTCACTGACCAGAAGCTTCTGTTGAGTGCAGGGCAGAGGGTCCAAGTGGGAAGGGACCCTCCCTCCAAGCCCAGCAGGGATTTAGCACCTACAAGCCCAGTTATGGGAAACAATGACTTCA